AGCTTTTAAGATGAGTTTGTTTCTGCCATTTTACTGCCAAATGATTCTACCCTACAAAATCTTCAGATGATTCAATTGTTTTCTGCAGTTTGAAGTTTCTGATGACTTCCTATCACATTTTCATATGTTCTTCAGGTAATTTCAGCTTTTTTCATTCAGCAAAAGCATTCCCACTTTGATGTTTCTCCGAAACAGCTTTTTCTAGTTATTATTCTGGTTGCTCCGTTTTTCTTTGTCATTTAACTAGTCCTTCATACTTTGTGCTATTTAAACCATTCAACTTTTAAACTATTCAACTTAATTAGTAGAATTCTGCTATATCTTTTTACTTTTTAAACTTTTATACTTTTTAAAATATTTAACTTTTTATGCCTTTTTTGCTCCCATAGGAATGAATGTAAAATCAGAAAATTTCCACAAAATTTCAGCAAATCTTCAACTACTTTGAGCTTTAACTACTTCAGCATACTTTCAGCTAGAAACACCATTCAACTTTTAAAATGTTTCCGTATCTTTCTGCTATTACTGTTTAACTCGGCTTTCAGCTAACTTTTACAGTTTTGCTTCAGTGAAGCTTCAAACTTTTAAACAATTTTTACAGATTTTCAAATTTATAATGGAAGTCTATGGACGGAATGTTCAGCTGCTAGAGTGTGCCACTCTAGCGTTTTCAAACATTTCACTCATGCCGAACAGCTTCAACTCACTCGCTCATTTTCTACTCTATCTAGATAAATTTTACATCAAAACGTAGGGATTTTTGTCAGGATTCAGGAAATGTAACCCTCATTCGTGTGACATTTACGGTTTTCCGACAGTTTGGCCCAGACCACGAAGAAGTCCAAACTTCTCCAATAGAAATCCAATGAGAGCTCTCTGAAAATCCGAACTGAAAATTCAAAAAAACAGACTTTTTCGTATCGCTCCCATTCGGGAACCGTTCGACGTAGCAACACGAGCCTTGTGGAAGTTGTTCCTCAGACCTTCCTAGCACTCACATTGAAGGAAGTGTGTCGATATCTTTTATCGTTTAGCTAGGAAAAAGGTTTGTTCGGGGGTAACAAATCTGTCCGAACCCCAAAATCAGGATTTTGACAATTATACACTTTTTTACATCGTCACCACGCCTAGACGAAATATTGTAGAAATATGAAAGTCACCCCAGTTGTAGTCCAAAGATGGCTGACGCTCACGGTGAAAGAATTTTTTGAATACCTAATACGGTTTTGGCTCACCGCTCGTTTGTTCGGAGGAAAAGTTTTGCTTTTGAGAGTTCTGCTCTACCATTAAGCTGCATGTTATTCAATGAGACCAGCAGGATTTCTCAAACCTTTTTATTCCTCCTTCCCATTAAGGTTGTGAATGAGCTACAGCCATGAAAGTTACCCCAATCGGAGACAAAGGATAGCTCTCGCTTAGACTGAAAGAATTTTTTAGATACCATTTACGGTTTGTCTTCAGCACTTGTTTGTTCGGAGCTGATAATCCCATTCAAAAAAGCCTGAGAACTAAGGAACGAAAGTGATGCGCGTTTCTCTCTGTCACTGACAGGCTCGTTAACGTTGTCAAGGTAACCGAGCTTCAAACAGATTTTACCTCCACCACTTTAAACAGCACATTTTAATCTAATGGAGGGAGACAACACTGATTTAACATTAGGAAGTGGATACAATATGACTACTGGCCATGACCCTTCCCTTCACACGCAACCCTGATAGACTTTCAAAATAAGACTCCGGGGACCCTTCAAAATAAAAGCCCCTACATTAAACTCATATTTTTTTCCCAGCATATGGGTCAACATTATGATCCGAACTCAACCACTTTTTTAAAATTAGACTCTAGGGGGGTTTTCAAAACACACCCCACAGCAAATTTCAAAATAAAAGCCTCCCATTGCCACTTCATCTACTGCCCTAATAACAGGGGAAAGAGTGATTTAATGATTGGAAAGTCATCAAGTGTCACTGCTGGGTCTGACCCTTTTCCTCAACACACAACCATGCTAGACTTTCAAAATAAGACTCCAGTGACCCTACAAAATAAAAGCCTCTATATTATACTTGTGTATTAATTGATGCAAATGGCTCAGCATTATGACCCAAACTCTACCAGCTTGTTTCTATTAGACTCTAGGGACCTTTTCAAAACATACCCTGGAGTGAATTTCACAATAAAAGTCTCCCATTTACGCTCTAACAGAGCATCTATTGACACACATCAATGATAGACTTTACAAATAAGACCAAAGGTACTCTACAAAATAAAAGCCTCTTCCTTCTGCACGTTCATTCATTGTGCCGTATGGCTCGTAGCTATGACCCAAACTCAACCAATAACATGGAAAACCAGTGATCTTTTTTTTAAACTTTTTTTCCAGCCAAGAAATTCAGGACAGTCTTCACAGCCCTGCTCTTTGTTAACAGAATCAGCCTATTTGAACTTTAACTACTTCAGCATAGTTTCTGGTGGAAACACCATTCAACTTTTAAAATGTTCTTGAAAGATTTAGCTATTACTGTTTAAGTCAGATTTTTTATATCTTTTACAGTTTTGGTAAAATCCCAATTGAAATAATATTTTTTCTGGTTTGCAATTTTATAATACAAGTCTATGGGAGGAATTATTCAACTGTCAGAGTGTGTGCTCTAGCTTTTGAGCTGTTCTGGTTTTTCAAACAAATTCTTCTCATTTCCTCATTATTCACTTAATTTAAATAAATTATACATCAAAACGTAGGACATTTTGTCAGGATTCAGGAAACGTAACCCTCATTTGTGTGGGATTTACAATTTTCCTGCAGTTTGGCCCAGACCACGAAAAAAAATTCACACTCCATGAAGCATGAAAGTTGGCATATTTGTTTATCAAAGCCTGGTGATTTCTACAGTCGAAACATTATTTCTGTATCTTTTATGGTGTCACATTTATTAAATATAGTTCAACGCAGACTTTTTATCATTTTTCACATTTTGCCAATTTCCTTTTTTTCTGTGTCTTTTAAAAAACATTTTGAACAAAAACATTCCTAAGGCTCGATTCGCCAATCTGTCCTGAGTTACACTGTGCAAGAATCATATCAACATGACTTATTATGCCAAAGTTATGAGCATTTGCAGGACATCATAAAGGCAATTAAGCCAGGACAGTAATTGGAGATGGTGGCTAAAAAACACTTCACTGCCTCTTTCAAAGTGTTTGATTTACAAACATGAGGCTTGGCACATATAATCATCAGAAACTTTTAGAGTTCACATTGAAGGAATTTTTTCAATATCATGTAACCTTTGGCCATGCAACTACTTTGTTTGGGGGCATGAAATCTGTCAAATTTCCAACTGAAACATTTAATTTTTTGCATGTACTTCTTGCGGAGAATGAGTAGAGCCCACCTTCCCCTACCCATCCTCGCCACCTTCTACAAAAGCAGCATAGAGAGCGCTCTTACCAGCTGTCTCAGTGTGTGGTGTGGAGGCTGCAGCGCCTCAGATTGGAAGAGAGGAGAGTGATGAGAACAGCAGAGAGGATCATGGGGGCTCCTCTTCCCTCCATTAAAGACATTTCATCCCAGGGCTGCGTGTGATGACCCTGTAACATCATAAATGACCCCTCACCCCCCCACCATGGACTGTTCTCCCTGCTGCCCTCTGGGAAGAGGCTTCACAGCATTCAATGCAGGTCCAGCAGGTTCCACAATCGTTTCATCCTCACTGCCATTAGACTGCTGAATGTTTTTGTAAAATGGGCTATTGTATTGCATTTTATACTTATAATATTTTATCATTATAAAAAAATGATAGAACTGTAAATTTACAGTCATATTTTTATATTACTTATATATATATATATATATATATATATATATATATATATATATATATATATATATATATATATATATATATATATATATTTTTTTTTTTTTTTTTTTAACTATTTTTAAAGGCTGCACTTTTGAAATTTTGAAAAGATAAAATTGTCCAGAGAGCTGTTACAAACGTAATTTCCCAATTGCAATTTAAAATTACAAATAAATCTGTCTAAATCAAAATGTCCCCCTTTTTTACATAGTCACCAAGGCAACATCATTAAAACAGAGCTGGTATAATCGTTCCTCAAAGATGCTGATTCACATATTTAAGCATTCATATCAATATCTACTATAGGTTTTGATGTATTAACCATAGTTCAACACAAAGTTTTGCGTATATTTTTCACTTTTTGCCAATTTCCCTCTTTGGTTGTGTCTTTTCAAAAACATTTTGAACAAAAACAGTCGTAAAGCTTCGTTCTCCAATCCATCATGAATTAAATGGAGTAAGAATTACATTGGTAAGATTTATTAAGACATAGTTACAGGCATTTGTTTGATACAACATCATGTAGGCTCATAAGGAAAACGCTGAGTTGCCCACAGTAGCCTGTATGAAAATCGGTGTCAATATTGATATAGTTCAGTTAGATTTTTATATTGAGATTAAATTATAGCCATTAAAAAATGTTCATAAATCTTGAACATTCTAATGAGCAGCCGGAAGTAGCCACACCAAAAATACACCTTTTATTGTCATTACACATGAATGAAAAATAAGTTCTCTTTTAATGAGGCATTCACGTTTATACGTCTGGTGACCGCTGTCAACTCCGTCTCACAGGTCAGGTGAGAAGCTATTTGCCAGCTTTTGTTTCATTCTCATGGCAAAGATGAAAAACGTTTTATTGTAAAACATATAACACCCATGCTGTTCAAAGTTTACTCAGGAGACTCAATAAAAAGGAACAAAGTGCTTTGAGATGTGTGAAGAAATGATTTCTGAATGTTTAATTGAATAATTCTCAGCCTACAGAATTTAGTCAATGAAATTTAGTAGAATTTAAGTAATAATTAAGTAGAATTAAATTTAATAAATTAAATATCCTCAACATTTATATTTAAATAAAAAAATTAATATGAAATAATATTAAAACTTAAGTATGAATGCTGCACCGAACAGAAAATTTCCGAATGTCCTTGAATGCCTCTTCCTTTTCCGTTTCCTGTCCGACCTGGAGAAGAAACTGCCGTTCAGCTCCATTCATCTGAAGGGTAAGTAGCTACGTTCGCGCTGTCTTATATAACATTAATATGAACGCTGGAATAAATGTGTTATATACAGAGCTATGTGTTTTTAAATACATTGGTTGTGAAATATAATTAGGGCTTAGAGCTGCCGTTTAATAAAACTAGAAACGGCTATATGTCCCAACCTCTGAACTGGTTCTGACTGGTTTGCACCAGCATTAGCAGCAGTTTCTAACAGTTAAAGGCCAACCCTTTAACTGTAGCCCGACCCGGTTCTGATAGCACACATTAGTGGTTTCGGCTAACGGTCCAAGCCCTAGCCGGTGTAGGTACCAGATTGACTCGGGCTGCCAGATTGACTCGGGGGCCTGCGCCTTTTGAGATGCGTCAGAGCGTCCGCCATCTCAAATGTGGCAAATCTGCAGTTTCTCAGTCACTTAAACAGTATCAGAGGGACTTTAATCTCTGAATATACTTTGTATTCGTAGTATTTTTGGTTTTGTAATATTACAAGTTTATTTTTTGTATCCCTTTAGCTTCATTTTCCTGAATTTATTGTCGTTACAAATGCAGACCGCGGGCTCAATGTAGTTTGTTTGAGTGGCGTTGCCATAATGTCACGTCATCGGGAGGCGCAAGGCCCAAGGTTTTACGTGTATGAAAGTTGAGCTTTACTGTTTTATTCTTTACTTCACGTGTTATAGCAGAATATCACCAGTGATACTGATTTAAAACGAATAATAAAACACAAACGTTTGCTTGAAAGCTGGTTGCTGACAGCAGTGTCTACTCCTCCCTCTGAAAGCAAACAGATCCTTGTTCTTTTCCACACGTTCATTAAAAAAATCTCTAATTGTTTCGCAGTGTCCAAATGTTCTCATCCCATTGAAAACTGTTGTAAACCATGTACTTGTAATTAAAATGAAATAGAAAATGGAGTGCACGTGTAATCATTAAAGACTATATGAAGAAGGAAAATAATTTTTTCCTGGTTGAAATTTAGTACTTAAATCTATATTTGTGTTTATAGTGACGTACAATTTATCTATGTTGTACTATCCTTAATAAACAGTTTGTCTTCTAACATCAGCCATTTTATTTCATCCCATTTTGCCAGAACCAGCAATATGGGATGAAATAAAAACTGCTGTAATTTGTTCCCCCTGTCTAAATCAGACAAAAAGGCCCCATCTTTTTCATTTTTGGCTTATAAGTATCTTTTATGATGACAATTTATTCCTGAAACTTTGGATGTGATGGACCTTTATTTCTTAAAGTTACAAGGAGGGAACAAATTATAGCAGGCCACCTGCTGTAATCTGTTCCCCCCTGTCTAAATCAGGCCAAAAAGGTCCCAGCTTTTTCATTTTCTGCATCATAAAAGATGCTTATAAGCCAAAAATGAAAAAGCTGGGGCCTTTTTTGCCTGATTTAGACAGGGGGAACAGATTATAACAGGTGGCCTGCTATAATTTGTTCCCCCCTTATAACTGTAAGAAATAAAGGTCAATCACATCCAAAGTTTCAGGAGTTAGTTGTCGTCATAAAAGATATTTTTAAGCCAAAAATGAAAAAGCTGGGGCCTTTTTTGCCTGATTTAGACAGGGGGAACATATTATAGCAGGTGGCCTGCTATAATTTGTTCCCCCCTTGTAACTTTAAGAAATAAAGGTCAATCAACTCCAAAGTTTCAGGAGTTAGTTGTCATCATAAAAGATGTTTATAAGCCAAAAATGAAAAAGCTGGGGCCTTTTTTTGCCTGATTTAGACAGGGGGAACAGATTACAGCAGGTTTTATTTCATCCCATACTGCTGGTTCTGGCAAAATGGGATGAAATAAAACGGCTGATGTTAGAAGACAAACTGTTTATTAAGGATTGTACAACATAGATAAATTGTACGTTACTATAAACACAAATATAGATTTAAGTACTAAATTTCAACCAGGAAAAAATTATTTTCCTTCTGCATATAGTCTTTAATGATTACACGTGCACTCCATTTTATTTTATTAAGTATATGGTTTACAACAGTTTTCAATGGGATGAGAACATTTGGATACTGTGAAACATTGAGAGATTTCTTTAATGAACATGTGGAAAAGAACAAGGATCTGTTTGCTTTCAGAGGGAGGAGTAGACACTGCTGTCAGCGACCAGCTTTCAAGCAAACGTTTGTTTTATTATTAGTTTTAGATCAATATCACTGGCGATATTCTGCTATAACATGTGAAGTAAAGAATAAAACAGTAAAGCTCAACTTTCATACACGTAAAACCTTTCAAATTTCAAGTTCTGCATGTTGGAATTGAAGCAGAGTTAACTTGGGTTGTTCTTCCTACTCCGTGCGCGCTCCCGACGAGGGTATACAAATTTTCGCAGGGATAATCTACCTTGGCACGACACCGGGACTGGCAGCCTCTCACACAACACGATCGTGTCATTTCTGGTAAATAATTGTGCCGAAAGAACAGCCGCGTGTGGGTTATCTGGACTTTCCACCTATTATGGTAGTTTTCCCACGATGCACCGCGCCCGAGGTAAACATTGACGTCACCTGGTGCAGATCGATTATGTATTGTGACGTCATCAAAAGGCGCAGGCCCCCGAGTCAATCTGGCAGCCCGAGTCAATCTGGTACCTACACCGGTTCTGATAGCAGACATTAGCGGCTGTGGCTAAAGGTTTTAAAAGCCAATTTATATTAATGTGTTTTCAATGTGGATTCAGGAAACGTTTCCCTCATCACATCTAGTAATATGTTGTATTAATTTCTAGAACAGCCATCCAAGCTGGACCATCTATGTATAAAAAGTTGTCCCAGTGTCTGTGTTTATGATATGACATGATATGAAGTTGGTTTGATTTAGGAATTGATTTATACGTTTTTATATCTGTTTAAAAATGCTAATCTATATTTGGTTGATCACTTTCTTTTTTCTATTTTGATAACCAGATGTTCTTTAGCTGATTGCATTGCAGCTCTGAAGAAATACTTATGAAATAATGAGTCAGAAAATCAGATCTCTTTAGTACATGGATGCAACTATTGACTATTTTGCAAATCAATTAATCTGTTGATTATGTTTCTAATTATTAATCAGATAGTCAAAAATTCCTCGAAGAAGACTTTTTATGTAATTAAACCAGATTACACTGAAACTTTCCACTCGAAGAGTTCTGAATAGAGCAAATTGATAAATGAAAATATATATTTTTTTTATATCTTAAATGAAAATGTTTGTTTATACTTTTTTTTTTACAGTGTCGGTATAATCCTGCTCTACATGGATTTTTCTGTCAGCTAAAGCCATGTTTTAGTCTCTATTCTCCAGTTAACGATTAATCGATTACTAAATTAGTTGACAAATATTTTAATAATTGAATGATCAAGATTAATTGATTCAGCCCTAATCATGATAACATAAATATTTAAAGGAGAAGTTCGGTTTTTTACACTTTAAGCCCATTTTCTGTAGTGTCCAGGATGAAATCGAATGATCGACACCAAAAGTTTGACAATTGCTCCTGTCTCTGCTTTTTGGCTCATGCAGAATCACCCCCTGGCTGCTTTAGAATGGCTAGCATAGAGCATGTCCGATAATGTCCTTAAAACAACCTTAAACGTTCTTTTTTTAAAATATGCTACTCACCGGGTCGTCAGCGCTGTTCAATGACGTTCCAAAAAAAGTTTCGTAAAGAAAAAACGTTCCTGTAGTGTTTTATTTAGCGTTTTGTAAATCCCATTGAGTTCTGTAGGAATAGTCAATATTCCGCTGCCACCGGAAACGGAAATGGAGCCTGTTTACACAGTTGTAGTCTTTTCGCTTCACTCTGTGTACTCCGACGTCGAGGTGCTAACGTCTCTGTTAAACACTTTAAAAAACTCTGAAAATGGAATACGAAAGGTGGATTCTTGATTCTCGACGTCGGAGTACACAGAGTGAAGCGAAAAGACTACAACTGTGTAAAAAGGCTCCATTTCCGTTTCCGGTGGCAGCGGAATATTGACTATTCCAACAGAACTCAATGGGATTTACAAAATGCTAAATAAAACACTACAGGAAAGTTTTTTCTTCACGAAACTTTTTTTGGAACGTCATTGAACAGCGCTGACGACACGGTGAGTAGCATATTTTAAAAAAGAACGTTTAAGGTTGTTTTAAGGACATTATCGGACATGCTCTATGCAAGCCATTCTAAAGCAGCCAGGGGTGGATTCTAAATGAGCCAAAAAGCAGAGACAGGACCAATTGTCAAACTTTTGGTGTCGATCATTCGATTTCATCCTGGACACTACAGAAAATGGGCTTAAAGTGTAAAAAACCGAACTTCTCCTTTAAGAAAAACTGCTTACAATGTTGATACAGTGTTTGTAGTATAAAAACTAATAAACTTGTTATTTTTTTCAGACTGAAATAACCTGCTGACCTCCTCTGTGTCTGGTAAGAACAGTTATCATGGACCTTTTTAGAACTGTAATGTTGGTCTAGAACAGCGATCTGCAAAGAGCTTTTCTGAGTCCAACAAAATCTAAACATAGACCTGCAAATGTTGAGTTTCTGGATAAAACAGCATTTGTCATCAATGTCAGTTTTTCTTTTTTCTGGGTTTACGGTGAAAACTGAACTGCTGTTTTTCTGATTTCTTGCAGACTAACCACAAATTGTTGTGTGCTCTGGCTCTGACTCTGACTGGTAAGTTATTTTTATTTTTTTTTGGGTACACAGCTCCTGACTGTATATCTAAACGAAATTCATAATATAATGGTCAAAGTAGTGATTGAATTGGGGAATTTAATAAAAAAAAAAAAAAAATTATTTTATTTTTTAAATAACCTGTTGGCCTCCTCCACTAGAACAGGGTTCTGTAACCTTCATTATTGAAGAGCCATTCTTTTCAGTCCAAGAAGACACACACAGATCTGCAAATGTTGAGTTTCTGGATAAAAGATAATAAACAATCTTATCCACTGATGCTCAAAACATTTAATTTATATCTCTTGCATTGATTGCAGTAATTATGTCTAAACTAGTCATTTTCTAGCTCCTGTCTGTTTCTTCATAGACTTGTTTCTATTTTGTGCTAAAGACACATTCAATATTTTTCCTCATATTAATTAGACTTAACAGAAATATTAGTAATAACCTGGTGATTTCCTAAATGGATTTTGATCCAAAGCTTCACTGTAGAACTTTTGCCACATTTCAAGCTTTAAACCTAAAGATATAACATTTTTATTCTTTGTGAAGTATCTACGCCAAGTGGGAAACACTCATAAAGTGGAATGAAACTTTTTGGATATTGGAAACTTTTTTTTTTAAATGAAACAAAAAAAATAAAACAATATTGACTGTCCAAAAAGATTCAGTCCCCTTCAGTTAATACTTTTTAGTGGTAACTTTTGCTCTGACTGCAGCTGCAGGTTGCTTGAACACAACACCCCCCCCCCCCCTCTTTCTTTTTGTCCTTAAGTACAGCGCTAGGTGTGTAGGAGCGAGTAAAATGTGTTCTGGATTTCTGATGGTTTTTGGATCAGTCACTAAAAAAATCTTTCTCCTCTTGCTCCCAGAGAGAACCGAACCGGATCTCCTGCTTTGCTGGTGAGTGGATTTTTAAATAAAACATGTGTATATATATATATATATATATATATATATATATATATATATATATATATATATATTAGAGCTGTCAAAATTATCGCGTTATTATCGCGTTAACGCGAGGCCATTTTAATAGCGATAATTTTTTTAACGTGAGATTAACGCTATGTGGTTTTATGGTACAATTTTCCAAGTACATCCCGCTGCAGCCTGTGGGAAGGCGGGGCTATTTTCCCCCAGTCTATGCATTTTTCCATAGGCTGCGAGAGCGGAGCTCCTCAAGGAAAAAAGACGCTCATACACTGGGTGACGCTAGTGCCTTTTCTTTAAGCCCCACCACCAACAAACAAGTTGAGTGTCTGGTAACTAGTAGCAACCCGAAATACTCTGAGAAAACAGATTACTGAGGTGAAATGGAATCTGCTACGGCACTCTTGCTGTCTGTGTACGCAACAGGTCAGTATCGTGTGTGTGTGGGTGGGTGTGTTCTCATTTTTGTTAAGAGGCTGAAAAGTAACTTTCTAGAGCATAGACTACCTCCATCTAGTGATGTCGGTCTATTGATTTTGATGTATTGATTGAAAATTGTTCATTATTATCTTGGTTAATTAACATCTAATGTTAACTCTACTAAATTTTATAGCAGTAGGGTAAAATGCTTGTCTTTGTTCAAAAGACTGTATTAACTGTAAAGACTGTCTTTTACATCAGCCTGTTTTCAGGGCCTTTTTTTTGGCTACATATTTGTTATTTTTTGCTACATGCCTCCCCATCTTCTTGCCATATGTTTCTATGGCATAAATCAGTGTCTTTGACCTGTTTTCAGAAAAAAAAAAAAAGAAAATTGGCACAAACCTAGCCTGTATGTATTTTTTGTATGTCATCGAGAGTATTTAAATGATTTTCAATCAGAAAAAAAATTTGCGATTAATCGCGAGTTAACTTAGGCATTGATGCGATTAATCGCGATTAAAAAAATTTAATCGATTGACAGCACTAATATATATTTATACAGGGGTTGACGTTAGGGATTTTTAGCACTTGCACTTTCACATTTAATTTGCCCAGAAACAATTTTTACTTGCCCAGTATAATGTTTGATAAATATAGTTCCTAATATTCATTTTTGTATATATCAATGAAACATGTTTTTTTTTTTTATGTTTTTTTGTAATTCAGTATTTTTTAAGTTTCCAGGTTCCTGGTGTGTATATGCATGCATCAGATAATGAACTCAAGCCTACATTACCGTGTTAACATGCTTTTCAATCCTTCCTGCAAATTCTTTTTAAACTAAACTTTGCTTTAAACTGTTGTGTGCTTGGAAAAATATAAATTATAATGTTAAAATCTTAAAAAACTTGACAGGTTAAAAACTTGAGATAGATCACAAGACAGAAGTCAATGTCACAAATGAATAACTTTTATTTTAGAGTCACAGTATGTTTATAGAAGATAATACTATTAATATAATGTGACTTTTCTAGAGAATCATTATACATAATTATTTTATTCAGGGTTTCCACAATCTGACATAATTTCAGAATTCCCTGACTTTTAACTGACTCAGGATTAGTTTTCCCTGACAAAATAAATGCAGCAACAAGACAATAATAATAACATAACAGGTCACCAATCTAACATGTTTAGCTCTATGACATTTAAATGCACCCCTCCAATGTCTAAGAGAAAAAAATTTAATGAACATTTTTTAATGTATGACCTGCATCACTGTACAGAAGATGCCATATGATAGCCATATTTACACTGTGCGCATGGCATACAATTATGCCAATTTTCCTAATACCTGACGATAATTTTTAATCTAGGGTTATCTGGGTGGAGAGTGAAATGGGTGGAGGTAAAAATAGGTGGCGGGGGTGTTACTCTACTTTTTTTGCCTTGTTGTTTTTAAGACTGCCAAGTCGTAAAAAATGTGTCTGATTCACGCAAATTCCCGGACAAAAATCACGCCATCTGGCCGAAAATATATATGCCTCTAAGAATGCTTGAATCTCCACTCTTAAAAAAGGTAGCAGCCAGTTCACACCAGCCATAGTTTATATTTCAGTTTTGTTCCTAAATTGTAGTCGCTAAACACCTGTTCATAATTTGGATCATTGAAATGAAATTGAGCTTAAGATTATTGAAATGATTGATGTTTTGATCTTCTTCTAATTCTCCAATCTTTATTATCCTTTCTTTCTCCTCCCTTCTGTCTTTCTCCTTCTCTCACACCTTTCCAGCTCTTTTCTCCTCCTCTTGCTCCTTTTTAACTCTTTCCCCTCCTGTTTCCTGCTTTTCACTTTTTGTGCTCCTTTCTCTCCTTCCTTGTTTGATTATCACAAGTGTCTCACAGATGTCTATTTGTCTTACAGGTATTCTCCGGACCAGCCTCTTCTCACCACTATTGGACATTTTGTTTCGAGCTGTGTTTATCTTCCTTTTCCTGTTCCAACTAATCTGGAACCCCATTTACTGTGCATTATCCTATCCGTTTTCTTCAACTGTTTCCATAACCAGTTATCCCAATAGGTGTTCTGGTTTTCCTTAATTCATAAACCTGGTCTACAGGTGACCAGAGTTTACTTTCTCTCTTTTCTTTACAAACCTGGGTATTGGCAACCAGTGTTTACTGTCTCTCTTCTGACCATTGTTTCCACTAGAAATTCTTCAACATTGTTTCTGGCATTCAAGTTTTTCACAAATGGTTTCTGGAATTCAAGTTTTCACAAATGGTTTCATGGCACTAGTCTCTTTTGAGACCCCCTGTTTTTATGGCTCTAGTCTCTTTTGAGACTCCCTGTTTTCATGGCACTAGTCTCTTTTGAGACTCCCTGATTTCATTGCAAAAAAATATCAATATCAAGTGAACAAGTGCTTGATTGGGGTTTTCATATTACCCTGCAACTTTGTAAACTGTTCGAGACCCGAGAGATTCCTGCTCCACTTCTTTGGCTGAGGTACTGTATGCTGTGGATTTACCAAAGGTTTGTTGTTCCTGCTGAAATAAAAGCACATTGAAATAAAAGGAGACAAGTGTGTCTGTTTACTCTTTGACCTGATCAGAATCAGTCTACCCCAGACATATAAGTCATTCCATTGATCAGAATCTCAGAATTTGACAGTTTCATCAATCTACTGGTTATTTTGCTAGTTTTTTATAAGATATTTCTGTGTAATAATTTCTTTAAATGTTAATTCTTTAAAGAAACGTAATATACCGAATTGTGACTTTCTGACAGCTGTAGAAGCCAGTTAAAGCTAGGTTTCCTGTAAAATTTAATACTAAAACTATTCACTGTCAGCTTGTGGTTTTTTCCCCATTATTTTAGAGCAGAGTGTATACATTGGTTAACTAAGAAAAAAAATAGATATTGGTCAAGTCTTGATATTGCATCAAAGGATATCTGAGGCAAGTTTAAAATTCCAAGTTTGTGTATTTTATAAGCTCAGCAGTTCTAGGGTAACAATCTGACCAGAAGTGGACTCCAGCTACCAGAAGCATCTCCTGCTGCGTTCCTGATCTGCATCAGAACATTTGAAGTAGTGTTTTCTGCCTATAGTAATATATTTTTGTGTGAAAGTAAAGGCTAACTGTAAATCAGGACAAGTGGCTACATATTTTGGTTATTCACCATCTTTGGTATTGGGTTCATTTGTTTTCAGCACATTTCTGGATAAGTTTCTTTTTTAATACAAGCTATAGTTCAGTAATATTAAAATATAAAAATCTGGTTTTGCATTTGTAAAAAGTTTTTTTTTTTAAAGTTTTTTAAGGTTTTACGGACTGGTAACTACAAAGATTTAATATTGTAAGAGTGGTGAACTTAACATTTCGTTGGAGAGATTTTTTCAGACTGTTCTTTAAAGTAGGTCTGACATCAGTTCTACAGTGTTGATAGTTTATTCTGACCTAAAAGATACTGATATTTTAAAACTGTAGTTAAAAGTGATTGTATAGTGTGTTGGTGTATTAAAACATTTACAGGTAAGCGTTGAGGTTTTGACAGTAACAATGCCTCGAAAGAATCAGCGCTCTCAGGCTCAGAAGTTCAGAAGGCAGAAAGAGAGTCAAAGTAAACAAACAGAAAATAGCAGCTCTCAGGACAACCTGGTGTTTGAGAAGGTATCGTGTGCCGATGTAAATGGAGGACCTCACAGTGATGTAGAGTGTTCAGCTGGACAGCAGGTAAACTGCAGTGATGTAGCACCTTCTGATGAGAGCATTGTCACAAAAGCTTTACAGAATGATGCACAACAGGTTAAGCGGAAGGTTTCACAGGTGTCTTATGCTGACGTGGTGAAGAAAGCGCGTGTTGTTGCTGGACCGTCTCATGAACATCAAGTAAATGTACCTCAGCCGTCAGAAACGCATGTCTGTGCCTCACGCAGTCAGGCTTCATTCAAATATGGGAAATCCAGGAACAGGCAGTGTGTTGCAAACAGTTTGGTATTTCTAGCATTTCTCCATGAGAATGAAAACATTGGCAGACCAGATCTAGACCTAGTTTTGGATAAAGGGGATGTTGTGTACAGACAAGCCCAACAAAAGTTTCCTAAGAGCATCCACCTGGCAACCGATGAACTCCCACATGAAGTTATTGCACGCCGTTCAAAGTATCAGGTGGACTTGACGGAGGCTCCTGTGTGTGGAAGCTTTGGAGGTGGAGCACGTTATCAGAGTCTGGAACAAGCATTGCGCCGTTTGTCATCAGGTATACATTATGGGCTGCTGATCATGTCAGCGTTATGCATTGCAGTTTTCAAAAGCAGGTCTGGTCAGTATGGATTCTTTGACCCACACTCAAGAAGCAAATATGGAACACAGATAGCATCTGGTTTGTTGGACCATGGTACTGCTGTGATGCTCAAATTTAACTGTTTGAGTGACATGATTGAGAGAATCAAGTTATGCTTCACATCGTTAGGCGTTCAGTCATCTTGTTTATATGAACTCCAGCCCCTGTCATTTAACACAGAGGATCCACACAACAGGAGAGATGTTTCAGACACGACTACTACTTCTGCTCTGTCAGATGACGCTATTAATGAGTCCGCCCTACAGACAGCTGGCCTTCAGTCTAAGAATGTTATACCAGAGATGTTGGTGGATACAGATGTGGTTCAACAGGAGGTTGAATCTACACACCCAACACATAATTTCCCTGCATGTGAGTCCAACTCTCTAATTGAAGTCCTGAATCCTGGTGTAAGTGATATTTCAGATGATGCAGCCCAAGGTGTATCTAATGAGGTCAGTTGCATGTTAACTGTGACAGAAGAAAATGTGTCTGTCTTTCATTCCAGTGTTGTGCAAAAAACAGGTGTACTTCCGGGAATTTCTTTTAAACTCTCAAAGTACTGTAAAAAGGAAAGATATAGGGCAAAGAGGAGACTGATTGGAACACAGAAATCAAAATGGAAAGAGAATCAGAAACTGAAAGAAAGACAGAAGTACAAAAAGGTTGCTGAGTTTAGAGAGAGAAAGAGATCATATATACAAAATTTGTACAGGAATGATCCAAGGTTTCAGCAAAGGCAAAAGGATTACATCCGTAACTTATACAGAAATGATGCAAGGTTTCAGCAAAGGCAAAAGGATTACATCCGTACTCAATACAGAAATGATGCAAGGTTTCAGCAAAGGCAAAAGGATTACATCCGTACTCAATACAGAAATGATGCAAGGTTTCAGCAAAGGCAAAAGGATTACATCCGTACTCAATACAGAAATGATGCAAGGTTTCAGCAAAGGCAAAAGGATTACATCCGTACTCAATACAGAAATGATCCGAGGTTTCAGCAAAGGCAAAAGGATTACATCCGTACTCAGTACAGGAACGACCCAAGATTCAGACAGAGACAAAGATCTTATATGACTGAGCGTTATGCAAAAAACAAAGAATTTAGATTCCGCAACAAGAATCTGATGAGACAGCTGATGAGAAACAGGTACCATAATAAGTCATACTATGATATGCATAAAAT